GCTACCTGTTCTTCATATATATAAACCGAAAGACTGCCAGCTATTGTCAGAACAAGTCGAGCCTGTGTTAGAGAAACTATTACTGTGGATGAATAAAATGAATAAAATTGTAAGTACTTGCAAATATTTTACTCTATACAGAAATATGTATTAATAATATAAAAAATTATTTAACAGATTTTCTTAATGTTATTTTTCCTGGCCACTAGTTGGGCAGCGCCAACTTTACAACAAATTTTGGATTTGAAACAGGCTATTAAAGAACATCTCTATGGTGGATACAGAAGGGTTTATGGTGGTGGAGGTGGCATTCCCCATGGCTATGGCAGACGGCATTACGATGATCATGATGAATACGGTAGATACGGTAATAGAGGCGACAGAGTGACTAATTCACAAATTGTATATGTACAAAATGGACAGTCAAATGCTAGTCCTGCCGAAGGAAGTTTAAATAATAATCAAAAAAATCAGTTTGGCATTTCACAATCAAGTGCTTCAGCAAGTTCATCATCATGGACAAATGGGGGATTTAGTCAAACTGATTCTCAAGCAAATGCAGACTCATGGACCAATGAAAACATTGGTCGAAATTAAGAGATATTTATAATACAAAATAATAAAAGTGTGGAAAATGTAAAAAAATCAATTGTGTAGACAAAAGTGAGAACTGAGTGAAAGAAAATAAAGTAATGGAATAAAATTCGTTTCTTTTTTTTTTTAAAGAGTAACTATTTTAACCTACTTTATGAGGCCTTGTCTCAACGAATCGATTCAATAGAGATCGGTACTACTACTGCTTTACAGCTGTATTAAAGTGAAAATTCTTAGAGGATTTTAGAATTCTATTTTTTAATAAAGTGCACGCTCGGAAACATACCCTTTAGATTTATGGAACTATATATTACTCCAAATATTTTTCACATTACTCTAAAAAATTGCATAGTTCAAAACTGTTCGATTGACGACAATATACGTTTATATACGATATTGGATTTTTAGTATTTCAACGACAGAAGATCGGTGTTTAAAAATGAAAAAGTTTCAGGTATTATATACATAAATTGCAATTTTCTTCTTTTAGAAGACTATATCTGGGATTACACTGGGTTTACTATATTATCAGATTATATAGTATAAGGGTTTATTGAGGATTTACACACAATTGTTGATACTGAGCGCTACCGCATGCATCGGATAATTTTTATCTGTTATGAGAAACTATTCTAGGCCATGTAATTTTTAGTCTACCTTCAGATCTTAGACCTCAAATAATAAACTCGCTGCAACCAACCAACCAAGAAGGTATTAGACGTGGGTTGTGGTATATACCTACAACTAGACGAATATAGGAGAATCAAAAGGGGAGAGAATTAAGAACTAGCGTACTTATCAATATAGTATGCAAGTATATATTCGATATTGTCGTTTAGTCAATATGACAATATGACAATTAGGTAACCAATCTTTGGCATGTGGTTCATATATTCACATGTATTTCAGAAATGAGTTTATAAAAACATTGAGCATATAATTTTATGAAATTTATTTTGCATAAATCACACAGTCACTGAATTGCTGTGTATCCATCAACGTAGGTGTGACAATTCATATTTACAATATTAAACTTTGGAGCTGATTTATCTCAATTTGTTTCTGTTAAAGCTGCAATTAATTTGCATATAACATTTTCTGCTCTCGTACGTGGTCGACTTCATTGTTATTGAAATGGATTTCTTACAATGGTGAACATTGGCACTTTGATTCATATGGACTACAACATACTCGTATATTATTAACATTTTTATTTGTTGCATGCAGAAAGCGAAATTTACAAGAAATTGTGTTCGAGTCATTTTAAATTGGAGCCAAAAGTGCTGTTAACGCCTCTGGTTTTTGGTAATCATAAAGCCTTCTTAATTGGATTAGCATATTTTTCAAATTTATTAATGAATAGGTTTAGGAGTTTAAACAGATTGTAAACCTCCTAATAGGCTTTTTTTATTAGACAATTTATTCAATAAATAGACATGAACTTTGTGTGCATGTAAGTCATTCTTTTAACAATGTGAATATTTTTATAATAGTTAATTAACTTTATTAAATACATTTTATAAAAAAAATTAGAAAAAATGTGTGGTAGAAAAGAAAAGACAGTAAATAACACTAACCAGTAACAATTTAAATGGTTTTGGTTATGTTGCAAATATCTAAGTGCTTTTTACTGTATAAAAATAGAGCCAGGTTTCTCATAAAAACAAAATTCGTTAGTATAACGACAAGGAGGATGTTCTAAACACCTAATGTTCAAAATAAACTACAGAAGTATGACCTAATATAAGATAAGTGTAGCGATTGCACTAAAAACGTAGCCTGCTGGAAACATCAAGAAAAGTGTTAAGCTCTTTTGAGAATTAAGATTGAAAAAATGAATCTTGCAATGAAGTTATGCAATGAAAATATTGCCTGATACCGATTTCCGAAGCGCATCAATTTGGATACGATTTATAAGTAAAGACAGCATTTTCACTATGCCAAATGATCTTGTTTTCGAGGTACTGGGCGTTTAGGTATATTGGACATTTTTATATTAAAAGTATTATCAACCATCATCTGGTATACCTACCTATGGTTAATATTTGTTTGTTTAATCTATATAATCCATATATTCGAATATATTAGTTTATGCTGCATGATTGATATCTTATCAAATTACCTATATCGGTATATAGTGTATTGGAAAAAGTTGCTTAAAATACCTGACCCTACTAAAAATCCGGAATTCATTTGAAAATGTAGGTACACATTTCAGCTCAATAAATAATATAAATATAAATAAGATCGAATAATTTAGCTTCGAGAATTCTTAAATTGCAAGGTAAACTCATTCACTTAAGATATTTATGCTAGTGTGCATTGCTTAACAAAGATCAAATATGAATATTACAATAAGTAGAAATTATAGCGCTAACTTAAATAACCCCAAAAGGTGAGATAGAAAAAAAAATGATATCATTTCACATAATCAGGCCTATTCTGAATACTCCCAGCGAAAAAACTCCCTATTCCCACACTGTTCCCGAACACACAGCTCCCTTATTCTGAATCGCTAGGGAGACAGCAGTTTCGTGAACAACAACAATTGTGCAAAATTAGGAAAAAACTCCCATTCCCATGCGATTCAGAATAGGGGAATTGGGAACAGGGAACATACCAAATTTATTCAGAATAGGGGAATTGGGAAAAAGGAACAAACTCCCATTCCCTTGCGATTCAGAATAGGCCTGAATATATTTATTCAAAGTGCTGGTTAGCAGCACCAAACATACGAAAAG